AATTTTGGGTATATACCTAGCAGTGGTATAGCTGGGTCTTGACGAAGCACTATTTCTAATTGTTTGAGAAAGCGCAAGATTGACTTCCAAAGTGGTTGTACCAGTTTGCATTACCACCAGCAATGGAGGAGGGTTCCCCTTTCTCCACAACCTCCCCAGCATGTGTTGTCACTTGAATTTTTGATCTTAGCCATTCTGATGGGTGAAATCTGTAAGGTGAAATCTCAGGGTCTTTTTGACTTGCATTTCCCTGATGGCTAAGGATGTTGAGCATCTATTTAAGTGTTTCTCTGCCATTCTATATTCCTCTACTGAGAATTCTCTGTTTAGCTCCGTACCCCATTTTTAAATTGGATTACTTGGTTTATTGCTTTTTAACTTCTTTAGTTCTTTATATATTCTGGATATCAGCCCTATGTCAGATATAGGGTTGGTGAAGATCCTTTCCTAGTCTGTAGGCTGTCGTTTTTTTCTGATGACAGTTGTCTTTTGCTTTACAGAAGCTTTTCAGTTTCATGAGGTCCCATTTATTGATTGCTGCTCTTAGAGCCTGTGCTGTTGGTGTTCTGTTCAGGAAGTTGTCTCCTTTACCAATGAGTTCTAGGCTCTTCCCCACTTTTTCTTCTAACCGATTTAGAGTATTTGGTTTTATGTTGAGGTCTTTGATCCACTTAGACTTTAGTTTTGTGCAGGGTGATAAATATGGATCTATTTTCATTTTTCTGCATGTCAACATCCAGTTAGACCACCACCATTTGTTGAAGAGGCTGTCTTTTTTCCATTGAATGGTTTTGGCTTCTTTGTCAAAAATCAAGTATTTATAGGTGTGTGGGTTTATTTCTGGGTCTTCTATTTGGTTCCATTGATCCTCCTCTCTGTTTCTATGCCAATACCACACAGTTTTTATTACTATTGCTCTGTAGTACAGCTTGAGATCGGGGATGGAGATACCTCCAGATGATCTGTTGTTGTACAGGATCGTTTTGGTGATTCTGGGGTTTTTGTTTCTCTATATGAAACTGAGAATCTTTCTTTCAAGGTCTGTAAAGAACTGAGTTGGTATTTTGATGGGAATTGCATTGAATCTGTAGATTGCTTTTGGCAGGATGGCCATTTTCGCAATGTTAATCCTACCAATCCATGAGCATGGGAGATCTTTCCATCTTCTGATATCTTCTTCAATTTCTTTCTTCAGAGACTTGAAGTTTTTTTTTTTTTTTCAAACAGGTCTTTCACTTGTTTGGTTAGTCACCCTAAGTTACTTTATGTTATTAGTGGCTATTGTGAAGGGTGTTGTTTCCCTGATTTCTTCCTCGGCCCTTTTGTCTTTGGTATACAGGAAGGCTTCTGATTTTTTTGAGTTGATTTTGTATCCTGCCACTTTGCTGAAGGTGTTTATCAGCTGAAGGAGTTTTCTGGTTGAATTTTTGGGGTTGCTCATGTATATTATCATATCATCTGCGAATAGTGACACTGCCAAATGCAAATTTTAAGGGCTTTCTAAACTACTCTAGCTCCTACATAATGGCATGAAGACATGTCATATTTACTAATAATATTTAATAATAATTTATTAATAATATTTGATACATTTATTAATATTCAAGCACTATACCCAAATCAGAGGGCCTGGGCTATTTCCCAGCCACTTGATCTGTTACCTGCCATCTTAGTCTCATCGCAGCTACTCCTGTTCCATCCATGCCCTCATGGTGAATCCCTCACAGAGATTCTCTTATGGCTATTCCCTCATCACAGCTCCCTCCCTCTCTCTTTGCTCTCCACCTGGAACACCACCTCCACTAGAATCAGAAGTCCTGCCTTAATTCTCCTGCCCAGTATGGGCTGTTCAGCTCTTTATTAACCAATCATAGGTGATGGAGAACAGTTTTTATATAACGTTTAGATAGGAGATGGTTCATAATAATCGTAATGCCACATACCAAAACCAGATCTCTGGGTACAGAAATCAGCATTTGAATACACCGTGCACAAAAGAGCCTCCAACTTGTGTGTGTGTATGTGTGTGTGTGTGTGTGTGTGTGTGTGTTGGAATGTCTTAGTCATTGTGCGTACGTACATGAAGCAACATTCCTCAATCCAGGCTACTGATTTAACCGGTCAAAGAACTAACAGCAGCAAATGCTAATAAATAAGGAGAAAAGTAGCTATGAGCCACAAGGCAGAGACTGTTTAGAAGAGTCAAGTATGAACATATGGACCCTCTATTGCCCAAGGTTTCTATTTGCTTAGAAGAAATCCAACAATGCTGACTTTAGAACAATCCACCATCCCCAGGGCAGAATCTAGGATCCTGTTTCTAAAAGGCTAGCATAAACTTACAACCAGAGCAAACTTATTGAGAGTGGAGGGAGATGAGCAAGATGACCAGGTCATCAAATGTAAGTTTGCTCTTTCAGTTAGGAAGACAGGCAAGAATTATGAAGCCAATTCAACACTGCTAATACATTTGACAGGCTTACCCGCTGTCTCTTCACTGTGAGATGTCAAGTATTAAGTCAATTAACTTTATTTTTTAGCAAGATGTTTATTGTTATGTCCTCTACAAAACATGAGTATTTTGTGGGGAGAAAGTTCCCGCATTGATTAACTCAAGGAAATCCAGAGCTGGGGTGTCTTCTGTCCCTTTTCTCATTTGTGGGTGACCTTTAACCTTTAACCATCAGGTTTATTTTCATTTTCTCAAGACGTTTGTGGAACCAATGAGAATCTTGGGTCAAAGAAGTGTCCCCTGAACCATTATGACTCAAAAGGTGGTAGAGAATATGGGAAACAGTGCAGCTCCCCATGGGGCCAGGACTCTGGTGCTGAGTGCGAGTCCTTCTTTTTGAAACTCATGTTGGAGTACAGTCACCACTGTGACCTGTGACGCAGGTGGAGACTCACACAGATTACAGTGTTTGCAGGCAGAGCCTTGAGGAGGTGAGTGAGATTAGATAATATTGTCAGTGTGGAGTCCCAGAAAAAAAAAATAAAAAAATAATTTCTAAGAAGAAGGAGAAAGCCGTTGACATGGCTTACTGAGTGAAGTCACCTGCCACCAAGGCTTGTGATATGAACTTAGCAGTTCTACATAGTGCCTTCAATGTCACATGACTGCACGAGTCCCTCTAAACAAATAAAAACAGCAAGGACTAGTCTCTTCACCTCAGATCAAAACTACAAGTCACAACAAAACATCTCCTTATAACTTATTCTTTTAGCAACAGAACGTGAACTCAAATGAGCAATATTAATACAGTTGTTACGAGCCCTCGGCTTGTGAAAGAAGACAAAATGGCTACAAAAACCCGAGGCGAGTAGATATTTAGAGAAGCCAGAGCGAGAAGAGCTGTGGCCTTCAAGGAGAAGGGACGGCCACCTAACATGATCATCAAGAAAGAAAGTGAAGGATCCACTACTCCTTTTCCTCTTTTTTTTTTTTTAATTGCTATTCCAATCCTTTGTGAGTGAGTTCCTTACTTACTAAACTAGCTGGGCAGTTGGAGAGGACTGAAACCTTCTGAACTGTGTACATAGATTGCAGCAGAGTATAAGATAGAGCAAAGTTGGGGAAAATCCTCCTGGTCAAGGTAGATTTTGAAGTCTTACACTCATACTGAAGACATCATATCCTTAGACAGCCACCTTTACTGATGAGAAAGTCTCCTGATTATGATGTTACGAGTATTATTATTTTAGAGTGAATCCTTTTCCAGACACTCCAGAATATTCTCTTAGAGTTCTACAACATTTGTTTTCGGGGAAGATAGTTGTCTTGTTCTACTTCCTTCTTCCTGTACATTTCCACATTTATGGCTCAAACTTGGAAGTTTGGTGCATACGTCTTTATTCATTTCTTTAATAGCACAAATATACTATTACACAATTAACTTGCTCTTCAGTTTCACATAGGTATATTTTTGTCATAGTACTCTTTGCCTTTTTCCTAAAGACCATTCATTCTAAAACTTAATTCAACTGAGCAAGGCCCCTGGCTAACCAACCTTTTCACTAGAAACTCTGGAAACACTGTGACTTAATTATTTCTGTGTCCTGAGCTATGATTTATTGTGAATCACAGAAAACCAGTCAAGATGGTCTGAAAGATGTGCTATTATTGAGAACAGAGGAGCCGCCAGAGCTTCGAGGAATTAAGAATTGTTCCGTGAATTAATATGGATAAACCAAATGAGATTGTTTATGAGAAAGTTGTTTTCCAAGTTAGTAAAAGCTTTAGGCTGGAACTTGGCTGCTGAAGGCAAACTCATGAGTAGATGTAAATGTAATTCAACCATTAAAATAGAAACTCAAAGAAGCGAAGAGAGTCACAGTTAAAGGAGGAAATGGGTTGTATCGTGCTTCTCCAGCCATGAGGCACAATGGGGTGTATTAAGGAATTGGAGACACCCCATAGTGTGAGACACTCAAGGCATCTCTCATGTTTCAGTCCTAACTTGCAGATTTCTGAGCATTAACGGAATTGAATATTTGATGTAAAGTACCAGCTTTGAAGACATGGCTAGAAAAAGAAAGAAATATCTGTGTCTTCTTCCCCAGCATCACCGTGAGGCTGAGGACAGAATTAGGAGGGCGGACTTATCATGCATGTGATAAATCTAGGGTCTAGGAGTTATGTGACTTATGTTTTAGATTTTCTTTTTTTTTTTAGTTTTTTTTCACTTTTTAAAAGTTTATTTATATTTTTATAAGTTAGAGTTTCTTCACTTTGTATCCCCACTGCAGCTCTCTCCCTTATACCCTCCCAAACACACCCTCCCTCCCTCAGTCCACTGATAAGGGATATCATCCTCTCATTCCTTCTGATCCCAGCCTATCAGGTCTCATCAGGACTGGCTTCATTGTTTTCCTCTGTGGCCTGGTAAGGCTGCATCCCTCTCAGGGGGAGGTAATCAAAGAGCCAGCCACTGAGTTCATGTCAGACACAGCTCCTGTTCCATAACGAGGGAACCCACTTGGAGACTGAGCTGCCATGGGCAGTATTCGTGGAATACTTCACGAATTCGCATGTCATCCTTGCACAGGGGCCATGTTAAATTTCTCTGTATCGTTCCAATTTTAGTATATGTGCTGCCAAAGCGAGCACTATATTTTAGATTTTCAATTAAATACAGTAGCTCATCTGAAGAGCAGTGTCTTTTGCATGGTGGGCAGACAGGAATGAGAGATCCACAAAGCATGAGTGTGAGCATGCGTGCATACTATCTTCTGGGGAAAAAATAAACAATTGAAATGTCCCTCCTATGATTTTTCTTTTCCAAACAAAATTTTATCATGCAACCTTATGCAGCCCATATTTCAATTTCCAAACAATCAGGATCAAAGAGCCTAAGGCATAAAGAAAAGGATGGCTGACATCACAAACCACTTATGTTACTTATCAAGATATTGCTATTATATGAAGAGTCACATTTTTTTTTAAGCCAACAAGCTTGTATTGGTCACCATCATGAAATAACCATGTGGCTATCTGCATTTAAGGTCTTAAAAATGACTCCACCCCTATCATCTATACCGAAAGAAAAATGTTGATAATAATACATATATTGACTTCAGCTTTATGGTCAATAACAAGATTTATTGTTCCACTCTTCAGTCAATTTTAACCTCTTTGGGTCAACAAATCTTGATATTGATCTCAACAGAAGTCAATACTGGCTTATTACTTACCTCCACATTTAGACGCCAACCAACAATTCTTATGGGCATCTCTTGACAAGGAAAAGTGAAATCCAGCTGTCTGCTCTCTGTAGAAGATGCATTCATATGGGCTTTATATTTAATGTCATTTTTAGAAGCTTAAATTTAGATCTAGATCTAAAACCAAAATAGAGATAGACTGGTTTCAAGTCTACAATCTTCTCATCGACAGATACTTAGGGTGCCCTTATCATTTTGTAAAAACTAAAATGATAACCTTTTATATTAATTACTCATTGGTCATTCTCTACATTAAAGATAATTGGGCAACATGATCTTTTCCATTAAAGAAAGAACATAAGAACTGTTTTTACAGTGCAACTTTAACAGAATTTTAAAAGGTCAAACTTCTAGGATATCTCACCTGCTGTTAGAATTGAGAAAAGTGGACTAGGCATATGTTATAGAACTGCCCCCAAAGACTGCCCACTTCAGACACTGTGCACTTCTGAAGTGCACAGCTTCCACTTTAAGTAAAGAGATTCTGGGTTACAGGACTGAGAAGCTTGAGGGGAAGGATATGTTTGCTTGTTTGATTGCTTGCTTTGCAACTGGAAAGAAATGAAGATCAAGGAAAGAGCCTGTTCTAGAGTTTGCAATGCATGCAAGACAAGTTCTACCAAAGGCACTTATTTAAATCAACTCCTCAAATCATTTGTTCCACTTGCCAAAGCAGCATGCTTCTCTAAGACTTCCAGGTTTAAGGCAGGATCAGCCTTTGTTCCATCCTCACCTGTTGAAATACTTAGCAAGAGGAAAAAGAAAATATCAATATGAACAAAGGTATGGGCAGACAAAAGTAACTATTCTCAGGGCTGAAAGAAATTAATTTTTCACATTTGATGAATCAACATCTATTCCATATCTGTGTTAAAATACTTCAGATCAGTTTTCAGTCAGAAAGACAAATAGTATGGACATTGGAAGAAGGAGAAAACAGGAAACAGGACAGGAGCCTACCACAGAGGGCCTCTGAAAGACTCTACCCAGCAGTGTACAAAGCAGATGCTGAGACTCATAACCAAACTTTGGGCAGAGTGCAGGAATCTTATGAAAGAAGGGGGAGATAGACCTGGAGAAGACAGGAGCTCCACCAGGAGAGCGACAAAACCAAAAAATCTGAGCACAGGGTTTTTTTCTGAGACTGATACTCCAATCAAGGACCATTCATGGAGATAACCTAGAAACCCTGCACGGATGTAGTCCATGGCAGCTCAGTATCCAAGTGGGTACCCTAGTAAGGGGAACAGGGACTGTCTCTGACATGAACTCAGTGGCTGGCTCATTGATCACCTCTCCCTGAGTGAGGAGCAGTCTTGCCAGGCCACAGAGGAAGACAATGCAGGCAGTCCTGATGAGATCTGTTAGGCTAGGGTAAGATGGAAGGGGAGGAGGACCTTCCCTATCAGTGGACTTGGGGAGGGAAATGGGAGGAGATAAGGGAGAAAGGTGGTATTGGGAGGGAATGAGGGAGGGGGCAACAGCTGGGATACAAATTTAATAAACTGTAATTAATATTAAAAAACAAAAATAAAAAAGTAAAATAAAATTTAAAAACATATTTTGATGTTAAAAAAAGACCTGTACCCTGAGTGCAAAACAAACAAACAAACAAATAAATAAATGCTTCAGATAAAAATTCAAGGGATGCTCATCTTCTGTGTTGTGCTTGAAACAGTTTGCAATCTCTAGTGTGCTCCACAAATATCAAAAAGCTCATATGTAAATGTTATGTCTGATGGTAGGTTGAATGCCAATAAATGACAACACAGAGGAACAGAGACAAAGAGAGCCACATGAGGTAAAGCAGAGAGGTCCCAGCCCCTCGCTCCCTGCTGCAGGAGTCTATCTTCCAAGTAGCATTTCTGGGATGAAGCTCGAAGAAACTGAAACTTGGACATTGAGGAAAAAGGAATATTTACACATACAGGCTGAGTCAAGGTTGGACTGGAGAGATAGCTCAATAGTTACTAACAGCTACTGTCCTTTCAGAGAATCCAAGGTCAGTTCTCCTAACCCATGTTAGAAGGTTTAAAACTGCCTGTATTTTTAGCTCCAGGGGATGTGATTTCCCCCTTTCAGACTCTACAGGTATCTGCATTTATGTGAACATTCGTCCCCCATCTATGTGCATGCCTTATAATGTAAACTTGTTTTAATCTCAAATATGCATCTAGAATAATTTGTAGCTACTTCTCTTTTGAGTTATTTATTTATGTATTTATTGAGTTAGTTATTTGGGGGTGGAGGGGTTATCACTTTGTAGTTTAGGCTGCCTAGAACTAACGATGTGGCCCATAAGTTGATTTTCCAAAAGATGTAGAAGCATATTTCTTTAGTAGCCACTACCTGAATGACATTTTTTACAAGCTTTGTTGAGAGCGCTAATTTTTTCTTAATTTCACATTGTGAATTTTCTCCAGGAATTTTAGTTTTATTTTTTAAAATAGTTCACTCAAAGATGAAAAAAAGTGGTGAGAATAAAAGATGCTGCTGTTTTGCTGACTCTAAATTCCTTTTGAAATGCAACCTCATCACTTCTGAGATTAGGCAGAATTCTAATGTTCTACTGTCCATTTGGTTCTCATTCTTTCCATCTGCCTAAACTCAAACAACAGCAATAACGAAACAAAAAAAAAACAAAATGAAAAATAAAATACTGTTTCAGTCAGCCTTCTATTACTGTAGCAAATACTCAAGGGAATAAACATACAAAGCGAAAAGTTTGACCAGTTGGTCCCATGGTGGCTCATCATGGTGGGCGTACAGGGTAGAATGACGATACTTTCCTTCTGACGAGGCTGAAGAGGAAGGGCTGAAGTCTTCATGTCCCCTTCCAAGGTATGATCTTCAGACTTGAAGACCTCCAAGTAGGCCTTATCTCCTACTAGGAGGACCAAGCTGAGAAGCAAGCTTTTGAAGAATGTTTCAGATCTTAATTATAGTATAGATTATACTGTTATTCAGTTTTGCAAGGATGAATATGGGAGGCCATGTGAACAGAGTATCCCAGCAATGGACAGCTTTTTAAACACTAATTTATGAAGGATTTGGGAAAGGTAAAGAAGAGAAATGATCTCACTAGTTCAGGACACTGACTTTTCGGTAACTCCCAGGAAAAGATGGGTGAACACTGTAAGATTTTTAGCTGCATGCTTTCCTCTGCCCTCCAAGATGTTAATAGTACTCTTCTCTCTGATGTGACTACAGAAACTGTCCCTAGGCAAGGGCTGTTTCTTCTGCTAGGGTGAGTCATGAGACCATCAATTTTAGGCCAATGCCATGATGACACCAATGCTGGGTGAACCATGTCTGTGACAGAAAATCTAAGGGGAAAGATAGGGTTTTGCCTGCAGAGGCTGATGTGCTCTAGAAGCTTTTAAGTGAGCTGCACTCATGACTTCCAAACATCTGCTCCAGGGATGACCTTTTCTCTCTCTCTCTCTCTCTCTCTCTCTCTCTCTCTCTCTCTCCACACACACACACACACACACACACACACACACACACACACACACACTTCTGGAGTGTTTTTTAGAACAGTTCTTGCTCTTCAAGGTCTACTTTATCGTTATTTTCCTACCTTTTACAGGAAAGAACAATGGTGAGCAGAGGTTTGATCTTTTGATATTCAAGGTTTTCTAGAATCTCAAATCTTTCTCTGGCCTGAGGTTTCACATCTATTCATACTCTTTCGTAGAAAACAAAATTGCTAACTTTCCCAACTTTATTCTCTGTACGAGGACAATAAAGACTGTTTTCTTGGTACCTATGAAAATCACTCCCATCCATTTCCAAAGTTATCATAATAGAACTGCATCCTTGAGATAGCCTGGAATACAATAAATATACATCATCTAATCTGATGTTCACTTTTCTGGGGTTTTCTTCTCAGAGATGTTTCTATATATTATTTTCCTATGTTATTACAATGTGCACTTTGTACAGAGCTTACACACACAGGATGGATGGCTAATGAAGTGAGACAATGGAGAATTAAATGATTTTCAGCATAGAAAGAACAGTATTATTTAAAGGTACAGCGATCATTAAGAGACAAAGAGGGAGATGGACATGGCTTAACAACTCTGTGGTTAAAACACTTGCTCCTCCAGTGCAAGAACCTGAGCTGGGAAGCCCCAGACCACGTTTGAAAGATGCCAGGAGAGCGGAGCCAGCCCGCGAGATATCCGAGCTTTGAAATACAGAATCAGGATCCCCAGGGTGAGTGGCTAGCAGGAGTAGCAGTATTAAAGATCTCTGGGCCTACCTGAGAGACTCTACCTTAATGAATAAAGTAGAACAAGGGTTGAGTCTCACTTTCAAGATCAACCTCCTGCCTCCTGTGTATATGTGAACAAGCACGCACATACACACCACACATGA